TCTGTGCTTTTTGTATACGCAGATTGACAGAGGCCTTGACAGCAATTTCGCTAGAGCAAAGAAGCATGGGTTATATTGCTTCAGAATGGAAATGGCTTTCTGTATTAAGTCATAGTAAATGATAAACCTTTAGATGCTCTGCTATTTCTTTAGCTGCATAAGCATGCTGTTTTGTCATCACCAGCCTTCAAAACCATTATTAAGTCACTAATCAGCCCACAAAGCCAACTGTATCCTTGGCTGTATCCAGAGAAGCGTGGCTAGCAGGCCGAGGGAGGGGATTCTCCCCCTCTACTCTGCTCTCGTGAGACCCCACCTGGAGTGCTGTGTCCAGCTGTGGAGCCCTCAACATCAGGATACAGACGCGTTGGAGCAAGTCCAGAGGAGGCCACGAAGAGGCTCCAAGGGCGGGAGCCCCTCTGCTATGGGGACAGGCTGAGAGAGTTGGCCTTGTTCAGCCTGGAGAAGAGAAGGCTCCAGGGAGACCTTATAGCACCTTCCAGTACCTGAAGGGGCTACAAGGAAGCTGGGGGGGACTTTTTACAGGGCCTGTAGTGACAGGACAAGGGGGAACGGGTTTAAATTGAAAGTGGGGAGGTTTAGATTGGATATCAGGAAGAAGTTCTTCCTGGAGAGGGTGGAGAGGCACTGGGACAGGTTGCCCAGAGAACCTGTGGATGCCCCATCCCTGGAAGTGTCCAAGGCCAGGCTGGATGAGGCTTGGAGCAACCTGGTCTAGTGGAAGGTGTCCCTGCAGGGGGGTTGGAACTGGATGATCTTTAGGTTCCTCTCCAACCCAACCCAAACCATTCTGTGATAATTATCTTCAAAGTCATGTTCCTGTGGGACAGCATGAGCTGCAGGCCCCAATAAACAGTTCAGCATGTTAGTTGTTTCTATGCCTATTCTTGCCAAAGAACTTTGATTCTGCTGTAGGTGATGGGTGGGAATTCACAAACTCTCCCACACAACAGACGGGGAAGCATGCACTTGGGAAATTCACACAGGACTGGAACGTAAAGCAGGGTACTTATTTGAGGGAGTCTTTAAGCATCTTGCAAGTGCTGGAGGTGTGTTGTAACCATTGACCAGGGAGTCTGTGTCTCTTGCTCGTTAATGAATTTCATTTACTCTATCAGGAGTAAATGTGTGGCCAGTTACCTGGCTGGACTAATCCAGCTGTCTCTGAGCACCCGGGAGCTGCACACAGTTCTGTCTGTGCCTCACTGGGGGATGTAGCCTGTCTGTGAGACAGAAACTGCTTGAGAGATGGCGCCTGTACCCTGCCATGCAGGAGCAGGGTGGGGAGATGGATGAAACCACAGCCTTTCCTCACAAACAGCACAGCAAGTTGTCCTCACTACATTCATTCCAGTCCTGGAGTGGTGGAGAGACTGCAAAGCCACAGTGAGCACACGAGTCTATGTCCTTTCCTAGCAGCTTTAGGGATCATGCAGCCCACATCACCACTTACTATAGGCTAGGTAAAAAACAGGAATTCCTTATTTATCATGCAACGTGTTCATAAAAAACCCTAGCAAGCAGTGCTAAAATGACACAGGAGAAGCACGGTGGTGCTCCAGGTGAAAACAAGTGTCAGACATAAACCCTGCTTTACTGTACATGTCCTTGCCATAAAAAGTTTACCTCTGCAGCAAATGCCCTTTAACAAGCTTTGCTTTAAAAGCAGCATCAAGCAATTTAAAATATTACTGAGTTCAAAATGAAATCTTCATTACTCGTTACCCAGGGGAGTGCTGTGAAACAACAGGATAAAACCATCTTGAAACCAGGCAGACCTTAGATTGTTTATAGATAGTTTTCCTTTGTTCGTGTCTTTGTTCTTTCAGTAGGTGGTGGAACACTCTGTCTCTCGGCTTCCCCAGCAGTACAGCAATGACCTTGAAACGGCCAGCTGTACTGAATTTTATAAAGGAGTTTCCCTTATAAAATATTTTCAGTTCCACAGTAATTAGTGCAATAATAATTGACAGGTATTTGGGCTGTTTCTTTCTAAATGAGTCCAGAAACTACTTAAATGTAGTGACAGGCAACGGCTTTTGAATATGGGCCAGTCAATAACTCACAAAATACTCTGGAACATAACCAAAACCAGATTGCTTCCTGTTTTCAATTCATTTCTGGGTCAAATTAAAAGGGGAAAGTTTCTGTGTCAATACAGATCAAATTCACCCTTGAAATATAAGCAGTTGGATTGGACCGTTTCCTTATCTTGTATCTGCCTCCTTTGTTCTGAGATGTTGTACTGATGAAGCCAAGACTAAGTGAGTAAACTGACCTGAGTAATTCGCTGGATCGAGGAGCATCTGCACTTGGGCTTTCTGTGAATGCGTCATCTTTCACTTCAGCTGTCCAGTGCTCTTTCCTGGATCACCTGGAGCCAAATTTGTAAACTGTGATCCAGACATCAAAGTCATGACTGTTCCATGTTTTCTGCCGCTGATTTCAGCCAGGATTTTCATACCGGCATCGACCATCAAGCTAGAAAGTTTTCCGATTAATGAATAGGTCAAACAAGTCATATTAGTGAATATGCTGTTCTAAGCCAAAGTTCTCATGTTTCCTAAAATTATTAAAAGGAATAATAACACATCCGGTACATATAAAACTTGGGAATTAAGTTTGTAGATCAGTCCAATGGACTGAACTTGGATTTACATAGGGCAACTGGACATTGGCAGCGTATCTAGCATATTCAGGAGTGCTTGGTGAGTGTGTGGAGTATGAAATGATGTCTTGGTTTATTTAATTAAATCTGGATTTTGTGATCAAGTCTTAGATTTTTTTTTTTTTTTAAATAAGGATTCTTCAAGACCAAAATGGGATATAGTTGGGAGAAGCTCCATGAGAGAATATTGTTAGGTATCATAGGTGTGATCACAGCCTGCGTCCTGACAAGATCTCGGTAGCTGAGAATTTAAGGCTAAATAGAATCTTCAGGATGCATTAGTACAGAAAAGAGTGTGTTTGCTGATGCTTGTAACCACTTTATGCAGGGATTCATGGGGAAAAACATAAAAGGGCCTGTTTGAACACATCAAATAGTTGACAAAGGTTGGTATTCTGGTTTTGCCAATCGTAGAAATAATCCTTCCTGCAGATTAGGAAGGTATGAAGAATGCTGACAAAGACAAAAACCTTACATTTGCAGTATCTTGCTTTTTTGTTTTCCCACCTTGGTTTCAAAACATCAGCACACATTTTGGATGAAATAACAATATCCTTGAGAGAACAATTACTCTTTCATGAAAAGCTTGCTTTGGGATGAGAAAAAGGCATCCTTTGAAAGTAGTGCTCAAAATCAAAACCAATCTCCTGCTGTGTATTCTGAAAGAGAGTGATGGAAGAACCAAACAGTCGACAGTCACATGGCAGCTCAGTCCTGGGAGCCATGAGAATGTTCTCCCATCGATTATAGCTGCTGGTGGCTGCCCAACTTTGCTGTTCCGTTGCAGAAACTTCGTAATACGGAGTCATTGTGAGAAAGTAATAGGCATGAAATGGATGTTGCCAAGTCCCCATGTCATTCAGCATGGGATAAACGCAGGAATACTTAGGAGAGAGTTGGACAGAAGCTGCTTTAATTAATGCTCTTCCCAGCTGCACGATAAGGTAGTTGAAAAGACACAGAGTAGAAGACATGTCAGCTTCTGTTACAAAACTTCTGTGTTATCTTTTTAACTGACTATAATTTGGAGGATGGCTGTGGTTTCTTCCTTCCCTCCCCCCCCCCCCCTTTTTTCTAACAAAATTAAAAGAATTTAATGACAAGGGCATTTGAAAATTTGTTAATGTGTGTCTTTTTAAAAGTGTTCAGTCCTCTCCTACATGAATCTCTGTACTCTGCCCTCCCCAGTCAAAGATGTCTGCATCTTTTTTATTGCATCCCTCAGCTTCTTCCAAAGAAGAAAAAGTTACTAGCGACCACCAAAACTCTTAATGCCTCAAAACATTCACCTTAGTGAAACTATTGAAACAGTGTTGCCAGATGCATTTGAAAACACCAACTTTTAGTTTTTGAAAATTTTTTGTCCAATTAGAAAGGTTTTCCAGAATAAAACCAAAAAGGACTTAATCTCAGAATTGCAACAATTTTGCTCTCTGTTGCCTGACCCAGATTCTTTCATCGTTTCATCTGGTGTTCATATGTGTTTTTACCACGACATGCATGGTTGCCTGTTACCAGTTCAGCAACGAAGCAAAAGGAGACCACTGCTTGCCTTGCTCTTATAAAACATGCACTGTGTACTCCTTATCAGCTTAAAACATAGATACAACCTGTAACAGATTATTTCCCACTCAAGCTAAATGTATGATTTCCCTTCCCATAGTTCATTCAAACCTTTTCTTTGGACAGCAGCCTCAGGATGAGTCTCTAGTAGCACTAGACAACTCACTGTGAGCTGTGGTTCACGGAGCCTGCAAGGCCCCACAAACCTGGCACAACAGGGCATCTTCAAAAATCATTTCCTTGGATTCACTGCAGTTACCTACAGTCACAGGGACTGGGTGAACGCCTGTATGATTACTCTTTGGAGCCTTGTTTATATGACTAAACCTTACAGCAGAGAGTCCTTTGTAATCCAGCATTAGCAAACCATTACCACAATCAAAACTTCCTTTCTATGGGAACTCGCACAGGTAACGACACCTGAGCTGAAAAGCTGCACGTGAAAATTACCCAACCGTTGGTGGAGCTGGCTGACGCATACCTGAGCTACCCTGAAGGTACAGGGAGGAAGCCAAACCGAAGTAGTCATTCCAGCGTGGATCTGTAGGTGCCAATTCAAGACAACACGGCACACCCAGCCAGTCAGCCCATCCCTCGTGCCACCTGCTCCTTCACCACTCCAGCCACAATTCAGTCCTCCAAGTAACCACTGATGTGACACGATCTTTGCTTGTTGCTTTGATCAGGAAGTAGGGTTTCAACTTCTAGTGTACATTTTCTAATGTTACTTTCTTTTTGACTCTTCCAGCTACCAACAGGAGGTCCACAGAAATATCCTGCCCTCCAAAGACCATTTCTGAAGTAGACTTATCAAAAAAGAAAAGCATTAAGAAGACTAAAGGTGGAATTAAGGTAGGAATGTGTGTTTTGGAGACACTCCATATGTGAGAGCACTCAAAACAATATAAATATAGGTTTACATATTTATACTTAGAATTAAAAAATTGAGTAAGTTAATTATCTGCTAAGCTTCTTTTTAATTTTTACACTTCACGTTGCAGTTTGAAAGTTACTCAGATAACAGTGTTAAAGATCTTGATTCACACTCAGGCACATGGAAAGACAAGTTAAAGCAGAAATCACTTACCTTCAAAGAGGAAATGTGGAGGTAATGTCCAACAATAATACATTAAGGTGCATCCAAAGTGCCCAATGTTCCTTACAGCACACAAACTATTTTGTTTCTACAACTGGAATCTTATTCCAGCTCCTCTGAGCTGTGCTCAGGTTTTCACAAAGTTATGTAATTTTTCCCATTTAAATATTTTCTAAGGGTGGTTTCTATGCAAAGGAGGAAAGATGAGACATTTAATACTTAAAAATAACCTAACCAACCATGAAAAATTCCATGCTTACCCACTGCTGCATGGACAAGTGTCTCCATGATAAGACTTGCTGCATTATTGTTTCCGCAACATCATTCTGCTTACAACTCTCTGGACATCTTTATCCTTTCCTCCTTATTCCTAAGCTTTACAGCAGAATACACACAGGCCACTGCTTTTCCCCCCTCCCAGAATGGAAAGTGGAAAAATGGAAAAATTTTAATTCACTTTTAATTCACTTAAAAATGGAAGTGCTTAGGAACCTAAAGACTCTAGTGGGGTTTAGATACTGCCTTGGATTAACTGCAAACTCAGCAGCAGAGTTGTTTTACTGAATCTGAGGACATTGCCTCTGAGTAAGCTCAAGTGCTTGGTACTTATAAAGGTGCAAGCAAAAGGGGGAAAAGCCTGCTTAAAACTTGCCTGAAGCACACTTGAGGCGCTCCAACTCTGCAAGACTGGACAAGGAAGTAGATTAATGTTTATCAACATATTATGTAAAAAGGTCTAGTCAAATTCAACCTGGGGACAGCCCTCACTGGCACATCTATACCACACTCGGTGTCAGAGGGTACGCGCTGCCGTGCACAACACTGCTGGGGCACTTCTGACGCACAAGGCTATTCCCTAGACTTCTCCACACGTACAAAACTGAAAATGTGAAGGCTTTGGGTCAGCTTCAGGCAGGAAGGAACAGACTGGTATGCCTGTAATTACCTACTCAAGGTGGTAATTCACCTCCAGTGGTGGAAGAACATGAAGACTGTGCCTGGAGTCAAGAATGCCTCCCATGCCAATACTGAGCAAGGAAGTAGAAAAATAGAGAGGAGGCATTCTTGATTTATAACCTGCACATCTAGAATTCAATTATTTTAACTTATCCAGTGATTTCTGAAAGAATAAACAGTTTAACCTAGCCTAAAGAGTTAAAGTTCTTTAAATAAAGGCACCAGCAATTAAGTATTTTCACTTTCACTGTGTCCTTTTTATTCAGATTGAAGTGATGCATGAAGCTAGTCAAGGGGGATCTAGCAGAGTCCTGGTGATGAGCGAGAGCGATGAGAACTTGTCAACAAGGAGGAGGTAAGGCTGCACACGCCGGCCAGTATCAGTTTTTTGTTCTTAGAATGCAAATGACTGCACTTACGATACAGTCTCTAGGACTTCTTTGACATTCACCAAGATTAATAAATAATTAGATGTAGTCAAGTCACTGAAATGCTTATTGCCATGCATGTATACACAATCTATCAGCTGGAAAAACAAGATTTATCATTTGTTTTGGTTAGGGGGCTTGGGTGGTGGTGGGTTTTTTCCCCCCTCCCCCCCGCAATTTTTTTTCCCTTAGAAGCCTTAATTACATGACATGAAAAATAAGTCACAGTGCCTTTTTGTAAGTGTGTGCAAGGCTTAGTATTAAAGATTATCTCATTGTGTTCAGGATATTAATAATTGACTGTCTGAAAAGCTTTTTTTTTTTAAATGCAAGCAATAATCTTTTCTCCCTTTCTGCAAAGTCTTAAGATTATTAATGATTTATTCAAAAACACCAAATACTTAAGTCATTTAGCTTAACAAAAACTACCAAGCAAAACAAGTTTATTTCAGTTGAACTGCGCTGTTTCTAGGCCAAAGGGAGCAATTAAATAAAACCAAACAAAAACCCCAACAAACCCACCCTGCAACAATCCAAACCCCACAATCCTCACTGACTTCACTTCCTTTGTTCTCTTCTTCAGCAAGATTCAGACAATTTATACTTACATTGTCTCTCTTGCACAGCTACACACTGGAGCTGCATCTCAGAAACACTAGGCTTCATACATCTGCTACACAAATCAGACGTGCATACAAAAATGCAACTTACTGCTATCTGAATGTCATTGCAACCTATGAAAATGCCATGGCTGGTAGTTTTCAAAAGGTGCAGAGAGTGATCTGAAAACAGAACTTTTACCTACACACCTCTTGGAACAACTGCCTGAAGAGAGAGTACAAAATTGGAAGTTAGTATGAACAACAGGTTAAGCTTCTAATATTTGGCAGTTTCAAGCAACTTTAGACCTTGAAGCTTGATAAAGAAATTTTTGAACTGTTTCCTTTCCTGGGAACATCAATTTTGCCTTTTGTTACAAAAGGTTTGTTTCATGGTAGAATAGAAAGGAAGCAGTGGAAGGGAGAGAACAGTGTGAAGTCCCCTCAAGAGGGGACTCTGTAGCATTTAAGAACATAAGAGCTGAGCCTGTCAGTTACAAAGAATGCAACAAGAGGTATTTACCACCTTTGGTGTGTTTTTCTTTTTTTTTAAAAGAAATAAGTCTGTTTATTCAAAACAAGTTTTACAAAACAGTTTTCTTTTTGTGGTACAGAGCAAAGTTTAAGAATAAATATTGAATAGTTTGTATAAAAATCAGTAATATCAAAGGGAAACTGATGCAAACCAAACAAACAGGTAAAAACAACTTTAGCATTAAATATGCTGTGCAACAATGTCAATCTCTTAATGAGGAGTGACCATTCAGGCTGATACAGTTTTATCTGTAGCAGTAAAACCTGACAGCCCTGCATTGGAGCACCAAGACTATTGTTAAAAACGTTCCAGATAAAGGTGTACAAATCTTGACAGTGTTTAGAGCCAGAAAATAAGAAGTTCTCTAGCTTCTCCTTTTTTCTTTCTTTTTTTTTTTTTTGAAAGGAGTGCCTTCATGCTTCCCTTTTTAGTCAACAAGCAAATTCTTTTCACTGCAGCAAAAGAAAATGCATACTACAAACATCGAGACCCTTTTAAGATTAAGAAACAATCCAAACAAAACTCAAACTAGCTGTAAACCAAAGTATTTCAGTGGTGAAAAGTGACTTTCCAGTAATGGCAAACTACATTTAAGCAGTGTTTTAGATGTTACCTAGGTCATTACCTTGCAGAGGTTTAACCTACTTAAAACTTGTTTTACCTTTACGAGTGAAAACAATAAATCCCAACACATACTTTTGCTGGAAGAATTGTAGTCTTAATAGAACATTTTGGTTGCATACTGCATATGAAGACCCTCCTTCCCTACAGTGAACGGGGTGACTTTTTCTAGTAGTGCCATTTTGCTGTGCAGCTTGTTGATTTAAATGGCTCACAACAGGTCAGAGATCTGATGAAGCAGATTTCCTTCAGTACAGAATACTTCCTCTAGATGTGCGTTTATTTCTCTATAAGCCAACAGGTCATACAGATCTAGGGTTGTCTTGTGCTGGGGTTGTCTTTTCATTTAAAAGACACACATACTTGGTACTGTAATCTAACTGTTTAGGCAAGAACAGAATAAATCCAGTTCCCTTCTCAAGTATAGCTGTTCCATTCTTCAATCATTCTGACACCAAGAAAAGATTTCTTTATGGGCTATTTATGTACCCAACATTTGGGTCCAGTTAGGATTCTTATTCTTTTCCTTTTGAAAAACCAATTATAGAAAGTTACATATTTCAGTTAGTTCTAGTAGCTACGTACCCTCCATCTGAAACAGCAGCTCAGAGAACAGTCAGCAAGCTCACTCCTGGATTCTGTCTACACTAACACGTACCATTAGCTCCTCAAGTCCTTAAAACCTGCAGCACAGCTCCAAGAGAAGTACCAATTATTTAAACAAGGTTTACTACTTTCAGCTTAAAGCTGCCAAGTCCTGTATAGCTGTTCTACAGTAAAAAGTCAGAAGACAGGGATCAAGTACTGCTCCACACAGCAAAACACTTCAGGCAGAAGAAAAAGGCTAGTCTTGGACAGAAAGCTAATAGTACTCCTGTAATTAGCATATTTCCAATGGATGCTCGATAATTTGTAAGCTTTTGCATTGTTACTGCTCTGCTGATAAACTTGACCCATTCAAGCTTTCAGAAGTAGTTTTCTGACACTGTCCCCCCTAGAACTTGTTCCAGCATCAAATCACTTCACAAGCAGCATCTGCCTGGACCTTGTGTGGGCTGTGTGTCCACTCCAGGAAGAGCTACCACAGGTTTGGCAATTAGCAACTAAACTAGCTGTCCTGAGTCTCTGAAAACCCCGTTAGTGAGCTATACGGGAAGCCTGCAGACACCCTAGAAGTTTGGTTCTCTACAGTATTTACACGGCACCACAGTACAACTCAATGGCTGGAGTTTGAGCATCACTTAGTTCTGTCCGGATTCACAATGTGGAGGTGTTCCTCCCACAGGCAATATTAACACTGAAATATATTTGAGATGCAGGGTTTTGAGGACACAGACTACCCTGAAATTTTCAAGACAATCTTGTGCTTAAGACTTCAAGAGAAATATTTTAAGTGTTTTTGACTTGTGTACTGAGTTTCTGCAGCTCTGCCTTTCCTTCCACTGTGAAGTAAACTTTGTACAGAAAATAACCTCCTTTGTTGGTACAAGCATGAAATTTAAGGATTTTTTTTTTCCCCCAGAAGTCTTCAACAGCTTCAAGTTAGCTATAAGTAACATTCTTGGGGACTTCGGAGTGCTTTTCCCCTTTAGAACCATGAACACTGGTAAGCAGAAGCACTGTTAAAAGAAACCTATTTCAGCTCATTCAATTATTAAAGATTGGCCTTTTTAGATATACTGCTTCTGTTTTCAGAAGACAAAGATTAGCAAAACTAGCTACATGAGTAATATTTATTTTTATCCTTTCAAGTTCAGTCCAGATCTAAAGGGAGCACCTTTGTTACTTAAAACAACCAAGTCCGAGGGCACTCAAACACGGTTCCCTCTTTCAGATTGAGGGAGCTTTGAGGAGAGGATTGTAGCAGGTCGTCACTTCTAGCACTCACTGTTTGTCACTGTGCAGGTCCAGGCTTTCTTTCTGTGAAGCATTGAGAAATGGTGAATATTTGCAACCAATCTACACTGCCTTAAGCTACTGCAATAGTCTCATTCATCAAGTCAAAAATTGTTTTCCTTGTTTTGAAAGGTCTACTCCATTCTGAAATGGCAGATTTTTCCTTTTTTTTTGTCACGTGCCTTGGTTCACACAGCTTTTTAAAAATACTTAAGACTTACTAACAAGTTCAAAGCAACAGATGTTTTCACCAAGCATTTCAGATTCTAGAAGTCAAGTCCATCATAGTTTAATCCAGACTTGCATCCCTGGAAGGGTGTAAAAAAACCAAACAAACAGGCTACAATGTAGAGTTGTAGTACAATAGGAGAGCTATTCCAGAAGAGTTTCTGAACAGAATTTGGGACCATCTTTCCTCCCACCCACCCCCAACTATTCACATTTAAGTTTTACCTCTTTCCATGCTTACGTATAATTTGAATAAACAGCTAACAAGTTGTTGCTCTGTTTTGGCTCAGTGGATCTTCAATGCAGGTATTCAAGTATTAAGAAAATGCAGCTGAACAAGGATATGTATCCTCATAGTACAGTTTACAGAGAAGCACAACATTGACTAGTCTGCAGTATATTCTACCCCAAATCCCTGAAGAAAGCTTTTTAACGTTGGGATCTGTAGCCTGCTTCCAGAGCTGGTGAAGATCATCTACGTGTCCATGAGATGTCATCATTTTGTTATAAATGCAGGGATGATATGGAGCCTTTCCTTCCCCAGAAAAAAATACATGATATTGTGGTACAATTCCCATTTTATTGGCACAGAGACCCATGAAAACATCATCTATGTAAAGACTTGTATTGAGAGTCAATGAAGCCTCATATACTTTAGCTGCTACATCATTTGATATCACATATGCAGCTCCTGCGGTGTAGTCAGGGTAAGCAGGCCACTGGTACATGTCATATGGAACATAGTATTTGCTACTCTTGTCTCTTATGGGAGGGGAGCCGCGATGGACACGACCAATCCAGAGATCTTGAACACCCATTTGTGCTAGACTTTGGAGATAAGCAACAAGATTTGGCATATGGATAAATATATCGTCATCTGCAGACATGATGAACCTGGCATGAGGACAGTAGGCATTCACCCAGCTGAATTGCAGAAGCAATTTAAGAGTAAGGTTGTGAAAAGTATCCAAGAAGTCTTGCTGAATCAAATCATTGTATTTCTGGTCTTCCAGCTGCAGTTCTCTTTGCAGCTGTGTTTGCTGCAGATGATCTCTTGGGCGTCCTAAAGCAAACAGAGTTTTAATGTTGGCATTAAGTTGAGAATGAACATACTTCTCATTACCCCAAGTTTGTCTAATTGCATCCCTCCGATGACGGTTTTCGGGAGAAGTCTTCACAAACAACAAGAGAAGGACATCCTGCTGCTGACACTTCTCTCTGTGATTGATCAAGTACTGGTAGCTTGATACTCTGTCCGAGTTATCCCTGTTGATAGAGAGGCTGTCGTTCACAAAATGGTAGCTATTGATGAGGTATCTGTAGGAATAGGACTTCATATGGCTCACAATGTGATTATCAAATGGTCCCCAAAAAATCATGAGACACAGTATGAAGCAAGTGGCAAATATCTGCAAAAAATGGCATCTTCTGACTCTTCTGGGACTAACAAACATTCTGATGCAGTTTCTCTATTCCTTATTCTGGATCAGTGTTTTTACAGCGCCGGTGTTTTAGTTTAAGAGCACAGTGTCACCCCTTCAAGATAAGTGTCTGTTGTAAGGCATGTTGTCTTTCATTCAGCGTCCTTGTGAAGCCAGCTTTGTTCACGCATTTCACAAGTCATCTTTCCCAAAAACCGCTTTTCTTTGACTGAAAGAACGCAGACAGCTTTGAAGGATGAGACTTGCAGACGAGTATTTTCCCTTTGGGGCATCTTGAAGCCAATGCTACACTTCTAAGCCGGATCTTCTCCCGTCTGCCCTTCCTTCATGGAGATAAA